TCGAACATTTTTCAAAAAACAAGAACATGTTTCAAATTGAGAACATTTTTTGAAAATTCTAAGCAATTTCTGAAAAAAGGAACATTGTTTTGACATTTTTTTAAAGCGGATTTGCTGAAATTTTGACTCATTTTCAATATTTTAAACATGAATGTCTTGTGAAAAAATCCCACTTTCAGAAAATATGATATTTTTAAAAATATTCTAACTACTTTCAAAATTCTGAACAGTTTTGAAAAGTTACATGAGAAATAGTTGAAAAATAAAAAAAAATGAGAAAAACCTAGGGTAGAGTAAATACCAAACCAGAACCTTCGGGAAGATTCCAGCAAACTGACATCTTTATGGGTGTCAAGTAGGGATTTGACACCCAATAATTCTGAACATCATTTCCGAGTTAGCTAGATTATGTGCGAAGGCCCAATAATTTGACGAAATGTGTGTCAAGTAGGGATTTCTGGCAAATAGGGTCCTTTGCTACAACTTGCACTTGCTTATACTGCGCGCAAAGGCTTCTCCTTTTGTGCCTAGTTCGCCATTAGGGAGCTACTGTGTACACCCTCGATCGCCTGATCCTCTATTTGGAAGAGCCCATTTCGGGTTTCTTTCGCATCAGTTTTCTAAAGGTACTGGAACTTCCATGAACTGGGTTTTTTTTTCCTTTATTTTTTCTTCTGGTTTTTTCCCTTTTGTTTTATTTTCTTTTTTTATTTTGGTTTCTTTTTTCGTTTCATTTTTGCAAACATCATTCAATTTTTTTTACATATTTTGAATCCATGAACATTTTTTGAAGTTGTGAAGATGTTAACATTTTCTAAGTTTGTTAACATATTTTACACACTTGTGAATATTTCTGAATTTTTGAGTTTTTTACAAATTCCTAAATAATATTTGAATTTGAGAAAAAAATTGAGACATGTGAACATATTCTGGATTGGTGAATATTTCTGAAATTTGTTTTTTTATGAATTGACGAGTCTTTTTTTATTTTTTGGCGACCCTTTTTATGAAATGTGTGAACATTTTTCAAATTGATGAATATCTTTTATAACAGCCAGCAATTTTTGAAGCTGTAATTTTTTTAAAATTTGGGAACGATTTCTGAAATTAAGGGAAAAAATTCTATTTTTGTGAACAGTTATAAACATTAATGACCATTTTTTAAATTACATAATGAATTTTTTGAAGAAATTATTAATATTTTGGAAAGACTTGACAATCAATTTTTAGATATACTTCCAAAAATATTTAATACATGACGAACTATTCTAAGAAAATGATAACCATTTTCTTAATCCCAATCATCCTTCACAAGGTGCAAGGACATCATTTTTTTAATACAATGGCACACATTAAATACAACATGAGCCATTTAAAAATACACAACAAACACTTTTTAGGTGAGGTATAATTTTTTCGGCAAATAAGAGTTTCGTGGGAGCAGAATAGTCTTGGTCTACACTATGATGGGCCGGACTGGGATTCCGTTTGAAACCGGAGGAGCGAAGAGGAGTTAGGGAAGAAGGGCCTTAGTTGCTCTTGTGAAGAAGCTTACTGGTAGTACATATGAGTTAGTTGCTCGTCGTGTTAGTTGCACCTCAAAATGTTAGTTCCCGCTCCATGGTAGGAGCTAGGGAATATCATGCGTGCCTTGTACGGTCGAAGCTTTGCATACCTAAGATGTTCTTCCAACATGCATTTTTCCACTGCATTGTGATTACTTGGCAGAACTGTCATGAGTGTAGTTATGTTATCCGAACCCAATAGGCCACCAGGTACGCACAACACAATACCTGGATAGGCCACCAGGTACGCACAACACAATACCTGGATAGCGTTAGGGTGGCCTGGCCATATGGCGGCAGCGGGTGCTTTTGCCGGTCTCTTGTCTCAAACAACGTCGTCGCAATGTGCCACACACCATGGTCACCATGCCCGTGCCGCCCAGCTTGTCGTCACACGCCCACTGAAGGTGAGTGAAGCCATGCCTGCCCAATGCAGCTATACCGTTGCTGAAGCATCGGCCATGGTTGGGTGTGAGGACGTCCTTCAAGACCCTGACGATGGCCATCTTGGCGTCGACGGCGACGATGGCGTCAGGGAGCCCGACGAGGCGCCTCTTGAGAAGGTGGGACACGAGCATCCACACTCGACGTGGGTGGAGCTTGAGCATGGTGACCTGGTGGACCTTGATGACGGGGGCGCCAGCGGTGCTTCGCCCACACGGTACTGCTTCCGGATGGGTTTTCTTCTCTGGTTTTTTTCGTTCTTTTTGCATTACTTTCTTCATTTTTATTTTTTCTTTGGTTTATTTTGTTTTTTGTTTTATTTTCTTATGTTTTCACCATTTCTTTTAATTTAATTCTACATTTTTTGTATAAGTCAATAACATTTTCTAATACAAATTTAATATTTTCTAGTAAACGTTCAATAGTTTTTATATACACATTTTAAACATTTTTTAAATGCTTGATTAACATTTTTCAAATATAAGAATAAAAATTTCTAATACATGGTCGACATTTTTTCTATGCACATTTAAATTTTTTGAAATGCTTGATTAACATTTTCTAAATGCAATATTAACAGTTTTTTAACACATGGTCAACATTTTTTAAAACATATTTAACATTATTCAAATGATTGATTAAGTTTTTTCAAATTTTTGGTTCAAAAGTGTTTCAAATTATTGATTAACATTTATATATATGATAAAAAGTTCATTGTTTTTTAATACATGATCAGAAAAATTTCGATACATATTTAACATTTTTGAAGTACTTCTTCCACACTTTTTCAAATGCTTGATTAGCAATTTATATACATGATAAAAAAATTCATTTTTTAATGCATGCTCAACATTGTTTTATACATATTTAAAATTTTCCAAATGCTTGCTTAACATTTTTCAAACACTTGTTTAGCATTTTTTTTTTCAAACGCTTGATTGGCATTTTTACATGCATGATTTAATTTTTTTCATCAATTTGTTAATACGTGGTCAACATTGTTTTATACACATTCAACATCAAATGCTTGCTTAACATTTTTCAAACACTTGTTCAACAGTTTATTCAAATGATTGATTAATTTTTTTATTAGTACATGATCAAATTGGCTCATCCACATTTTATTTCTTTATACATTTTATGTATACATGATAAACATTTTCTCTTTACATATTTAACATTTTCTAAATGCTTGGTCAATATTTTGCTAATATTAGAATGTAGAGTGATTTTTGTAATATACTTATTCCTAAATGATAACGCCCACACATGTGGCACTTCTCAACATGGCCCAAACGCAGTCGATGTCGTTCAATTCATTTGCATGAATATCGCAGCAGTTGCCATCTGGGCCGAGAGCCACGTAAGCACCCAACATCGTGTGGACGTTATCATTTAGTGGCACACGTGTGGGCGCTCCTCTCTCGAACGGACACACGACGCTCGCTCGAATGTGTGGGTGAAACTGCTCTTCGCCCACATGACGCTCACACGATGATAGATGGCAACTACAGTTGTGCATATGTGGTAACTAATTAATCGCACACGGCAACTATGGTTGACCATACATGTCAACTATGGTCTTACCCACGTGGCAACTCCAATTAGTTACACATGAAAACTATATCTAATGATACATGGCAACTGAATTTAATCACACATGGCAACTATAGTTAATTACACATGACAATTAAAGTTAATTACACAAGTGTTCACGCTGAAGGTGAGCAGTTGCCACACATGGTCGTAATTGCGCTCCCTATCTGTATGTGTGTGCGTGTGTGTGTGTTCAAAGTACCTATCTTTTTCATCATTCCCTATGACACTTTGTCCAAGGTTGTGAGTTGTGACTAGGAACTTGAGCTCTTATCTCAAAAAACACCGCTGGACGCTAGCAGTTTATCCAAAACTGGAATTAGGGAATTCGAAATTAGGGAATGCTAGCTATATAAAAGTGTGCTGTCAAAATTTGAATAACTATGATTCTACCAGTGAAAATGATCAGCTTACTGCTTCGTGCATACAATATCGATTCTGAATAAAAGTATGCTGTCAAAATTTGAGTACCTATGATTCTTCCAGTGAAAATGCTCTGGGTTACTTCCACGTGCCAACAGCATTGATTCTGAATTTACAATCTTCAATCTAACTACCACCTACTTATAATGCAGTAAAATATGAAATGGACGATACACTTTCTATTCTTTAGCGTGTTAATCCTTAGAAAATAAATTGTTATGCCTAGCGTTGGTATGGGTAAATGAACATCTTTGGTTGTGAATCGGTAGATAGTAATCATGCCTAGCGTTGTACGGTCGACACTTTGCCTACTGAAGATGCTCTTCCAAGATGCATTTTTCATTGCACATCATCATCTTGTGTTTATTTAGATGTTATCTGGACCAAGGTTTTGGATCCCAAACAGACATTTTTTCTCGAGGGTCACCGGAATTCGCGGTTACCACGGTAACCACGAATTTCCGGAAAAAATTCGGACAAAATTTAAAATTGAAATTTGAATTCAAATATTTTTGACATCGATATAGATACATATTTGACTCTAGAATTCTACCAACCGTGCCCTGGCGTAGTGGCTACTGGTCCGCAGCTTCCGCCTGTTCCTACGCCACTTTGATGTACATACAAGATGATGATGTGCCCTAGCGTTGTACGGTCGACACTTTGCCTACTGAAGATGCTCTTCCAAGCTGCATGTTTCATTGCACATCATCATCTTGTGACTTGTGTTTATTTAGATGTTATCTGGACATGGTACAACATTGCAGCATTATGCCACCAGTATAAATCATTGTAAAGTTCTCGAAACATAGGGGAATATAAGAAGTATTACGTTGATATAACAATTAATAAGCCACTCTTTTGGAAAACAAGAACAATCAAGCCACTCTTCTGGAAAACAAGAACAAATAAAGCAATGGGTTTTATTGAAGCTGGCTGTGATGGGCATTGCTTTGGTGGTGAGCCTTGCGGTCAAACTTGGTGAGCATGGTCCTCCTGGTGGCGCTTGGGGACCCGGATGCCAGCATGGGTGAGCATGGTCCAGATGTGGGTGATGAACTCACCGCCATTGGCAAGAGCTCGTGCGTGCGCCTCTTGCCCCGCCATCGGCCTGCGCGCCACAAACACGAGCAGCTCCGCCCAGAGCTCGAGCAGCATCCCCCAGACCTTCTCGTCCTTGTGCATGCTGCCATCAGCGCTGCTGCTGGGTCCATCCTCCAGCTGCTCTCTGTCCACCAGCTGCTTCCCCAACCTAACACCCTTGGCAATGACCGACTTCTCCTCCTCCTCCTCCCCAGCCGGGGAGTAGTTCATCAGGCCCTCGCGGCGGTGCACGGTGGTGGAGCAGCTCCGGAAGATGTTGTTGAGCTCCGTCACCATGTCCTTGTACACCTTGGCTGTCCATGCCTCGTCGTCCGGGAGGAGCCCCGGCTCGTAGGCCACCAGGTACGCGCAGTACCTCGACAGCATCAGGGCAGCCTGGCCGTATGGTGGTACTGGGTGCTTCTGCCGGTCCCTTGTCTCAAACAGTGCCGTCGCGACGTGCCACACCATGATCACTGCGGCGCCGCCCATCTTGTTGTCGCACGCCCACTCCAAGTGATGGAAGCCATGCCTTCTCAATGCAGCTATGCCATTGCTGAAGCGCCTGTCAGAGCTGGGCGCTAGGACGTCCTTCAAGGCCCTGACGATGACCAGCTTGGCGTCGGCGGTGACAATGGCGTCGGGGAGCCCGACGACGCGCTTCTTGAGCATGCTGGAGACGAGTACCCACACCCGGTGTGGGTGAAGCTGGTGGAGCTTGAGCATGGTTACCTGGTGGACCTTAATTACGGGGCGCGAGCGGTACTTCACCCACAGGGTACCCTTGACGAGCTGCTTCCGGATGGCCCGTTGCTTCCGTGAGTAGTGGCAGACCAGGGACGCGATGAACCAGTCAGAGAGCAGGTATTGCAAGAACTCATACGCCTCGACGGAGAGTAGGGTGAGCGTGAGGAGGAAGGTGACGATGAGGTCGGAGGAGTCGCAGACCATATCGACGATGGTGCCCACATTGTCTTTCAAGTGATGGTACTGCGCCGTGTTGAAGGATAGGCCGACGAGCCCCCGGAAGAGGGAGCCCAGCACTTTGAAGATGTCACCATGGCCGGTGACCAGAAGCACGGTGACACAGTATATCAGGATGAAGACGATGGAGAAAGCGAAGTTGGCTATGAATAGCCCCGGCCTGGGCAGCGCCAACGGGATGACGGCCTGGTAGTACTCGTCCAGGAACCTGAGCTCTAGCTCAACCACCTGGAACGCTCGCTCCGCGTCGGCGGACTCGTCATGGCCTCCCTCGAGGGTGAGGAGGCCACGCAACACGAGGTCGCGCGCCTGCGGGGTGTTGGCCTCCGCCATGTCCAAGCGCTCCATCTTTCGCCGGAGCAACTTGAAGAGGGCGAGGGCAAGGCAGATGTCCTCCATCTTGCGCCTCCTGCTCTCGTTGTACCGGAAGATGGGGTCACTCTCAGAGAGGTCCCAGATGTTGCACACTCGGACTAGCTTGGACTTCTTGCGCTGCTCGCCATTCGGATCACCATCGCCAGTGAGAATGCTCTTCACTCCTTGGTCGCAGATCTCGAAGCCATGGGGCGTCACCTCTCTCTTGAGCCGGGCCTCTCCCATGACCACGTAGTTGCAAGTCCTCATGACGTTGGCGCCGAGCGCGGCGGCGGCGGCGACGTCATCATGTGACAGCTGCCGTTGTTCGTGGACGAGCTGCGCCATGTAGCCGGAGACGAGGGCGGCATTCCTGGCGAGGTCAAAGGAGCCCTGGGCGCAGCGGATGCAGATAGCACGCTTGCACATCTTGGCCACGCCGAAGATCCAGAGGATGATAAAGAAGGATTTGATGCCGGGGCTATGGACGTAGGTGAAGATGAGGTACCCGATCCACACCAAGCGCGCGGCCTCCTCAACGGCGTCGAAGGAGCTGTAGCGGCCGACACCGCGCGAGAAGGCGCCGGCGGCAGGGGCCACCATGGCGGAGACCTTGCTGCGGAGGAGCTCGACGAGGAGCATCCAGAGGAGGATGAGCTGCGCGCGGTAGTTGTTGCAGGGGTCGGTCTTGGCCTCGGTCTTGGCCTGGGAGAAGGCGTAGGACATGAAGGGGAGGAAGAGCGAGAAGGTGGCCCGGAAGAAGATGCACGTGACGGGGGAGTGGCCGCGGTGGCGGCCGGTGAAGCGGCCCAAGACGCCGAGGAGGAAGAGCGCGATGCCGAGGAAGGTCATGAGGGCCGTGGTGGTGACCATGAGCCGCTCGGTGGTGCTCTGTTGGGTGTCGGACATGGAGCGGTTCCACATCAGCGCCATGTCCGTGGTGCTGCACATGCCCGGCGCCGGTGCCGGCGCCGAGGCGCTGGAGTTGTGCATGGCCACAGCTGCCCGGCTCACCAGCGACATGAGCACCATTGCGCCCCTTGATGATGCTGATGACGGTGGTGCATGCGTTTGCTGTATTTATAGCACTAGTTTTGGGCACGCGTGTGTGTGAGAGAGATATAGAATCCCGCTGGCGAAGTGAGAGTGAGAGGCACACGCCACGGATCGATGCTCGTGTTCGGCCATTGGCGGCAGCAGCCAGCATGAGATGATGAAAGGATAATGGAGGGGTCAGCAGCAGTACGTTTTTCAAACACACAGCCCAACCGCGTGGTGTATACATCAAAAACAGAGCCAAGTCCTTTTAATCATAATTTAATTTGATTTGATGCTCGCTAGGATGAGCATCATTTGATTTCGTTTCTAAAACCAGCAGTACGAAATGCTGCTTTGAACATGCCTTTCCATTAAATAACGTCCAATCCAATGGGAATTGCATCACCCATATCTTCACCCCTGTACCCTCCTCAGGATCATGTAATGCTTTTGTATTTCTTCTGCATGCATCCTTTCTTTACACGCAAATATATTCATGTGGGGCCTCTTTGGTACAAAGAAAAAGTGAAGGAAAACATAAGAATACAATTTTTTCCTATGGTGGTACTATTCATGCATTTGGTTCCCATGAATGGGGTGAAAGAAAATGGAGGAAATATTCCTTCGATCTCAATTTCAAAAGAAAAAAGCAGGAATTCTAACACGTACTTGTACCTCCTCTTCAATTTTCTATGCACAATAACATTGTAACTATACACGTTTATGTTGTTTTGGCTTTAATTTGCCAAGTTTATTAGGAATTTTTGTGTATTTTCAGTTCTGTGAACCAAACACCTAATTGACATAATACATGTGTGTACTAATCATCTATTTTTGTGCATACATTTATATCATACCCCTGTGCCTTTCATATTCCTGCGTTTTAGAATCCTGTAGACCAAAGGAGCACGTATTTTATGTACTTTTTGCCACAGACTTAGCCTACCATGCATGAATCTCCTGTCATGCCCTAGCTCCCAAATGTCTTGGGGAAATTTTACTCATCAATCTCCCATGTATTCCTCAATAGCCTTATTGTTATTCTTCTCCCCCGTCTTCTCATACAGTCCTTGCATTGCCCGTGCCATTGTTTTCTCTCTGGACCTCCAGTTGCGCTTCTAAATTGGCCACCGGAGCCATTTGTTCCATAGGTGTTAAACTGTTAATGCTTCCTTTGTGTTATAATTCGACGAGTCACCTCCTCTTATTGTGTCCATTATAAGCCAGATATCATATCTGAGAACTACCAGTTGGTCCAAAATATTAGAAGAATTTTGTGTTCTCCACCCGCGGTAAACTTTTGTTATTACATCACAAAATGTTTACAATTACTCACAAATTCAAAACACCTTAAATGTAGTCATCTGGATGCAGCAGCTCGGCAGAGTAGATACTGGGGTGTTGCACACCCGAGAGCCAGAGCCATACGCCTGTGTCCATGCTTCTTAACCTGAAGACATGTACTGTACTGTATGGGCCGATGGACAATGGCGGTCTCCTGGGTCTCCCTTCAAACTTTCGGGACCTCTTATTTAATTGTGAGAGTTATGTCTCGCTTATTTAGCTGATCGGGGTCCTCCTCCTTTTCTAAAAAAAACTCTTTTTCACACACATTGTATACATTTTTCAAATAAATCTAAACAGTTTATAGCATGTTTAACATTTTGAAAATCCGTAATTAACAATTCCAAATACATGATTCCTGACATTTTTCAAATACATGTCAGAAAATTTTCAAATAATCATTCCAATTTTTTTTGAATGATATGAAATATTTATTTAACTATGGAAACATTTTTTAACATTGTAATTTGTTTTATTAAAAATCCACAAACAAAGTTTTAAGACTTATGAACTTATTTGCATGAAATATTTTTAAAATTACATGAACATTAATTACATTGTAAAAAAATTTCAAAAATGTCACGTAATTGTTTTGAAACATGTGAATATTTTTTAAATATCACGGACATTTTCTAATGCTATCACTATTTAAAAAATTACACTAACAAAACTTACACTACATTAGCATTTTTCTAATTCTTGTTGAATATTTTTTATAAAAATTAAGTACATTGAGTTTTTGGAATATATGTATACATAATGTTTTTGAAAAAATACAAATGGGCAAGAACTGGTTTACAAGAACCTGCATGATTATTAGTCGGCCCATTTAGGGTTTCCTTCAGAACATTGTTCATGATTATGAATTTTAAAATGGTCATGTGATTGGAAACATTTATTTGTAAACGTTCATGAGATTGGAAATTATTTATGAATTTTAAAATAGTCATGAGATTGGAAACATTTTGAACTGTATGCCGCAGCTTGGGGGTGAGGACGTCCTTCAACGCCTTGACAATGGCCTCCTTGGCATCACCAGTCAGTATGGCTTCGGGGAGTCTGATGAGGTGCCTCTTGAGAAGGTGGGAGACGAGCATCCACACCCGACGCGGGTGGAGCTTCAGCATGGTGACTTGGTGGACCAAAAACATGCAGAAAACAACAACTGGCATTGGGCACTGGGTTATTAGGTTAGTTCTAAAAAATGATATAAAATGACATATAAAGTATACAAGTTTGATAATATAATAGCATGAAATAATAAAGTTATAGATACATTGAAGACGTATCACCAACATCCCGAAGCAGTTGCTGGCTAGCTTGGAATTCAGGCGTTGTCCCTGGCGAGGCATGCGGAGCGGCGAGTAGCGGGAGTAGGTGTCGGAGGTGCCGGATGAGCAGAATGATGAGGCGGCTGCCACGACGTCCTCGGACCGCGCGCAGCCCCCGCCTCTTGATGAATCACCATCGGAGCTAGCGCTGACCCGGCCGCAGGGAGGGTGAGGATCACCTGTGAGGTCTGAGCGTTATCACCCACATCACACGGGTCAGGGGGTGTCGAACGAAACATACGCCGCCCACCACTGCACTGTCGCCCTCACCGGTGAATCGGCCTGATCCATCGCCCACAGAAGCACCTCTAGAGCGTGCTTGCGCTTTGCTTGCCCAAACAACGGCTCCTCCTCTGCCTTCGTCAAGATGTTCTGAATCGCCATGCTTCCACGCGCATCTCCACCCTGGTGCTAAACCATGAGCCGATCTCGGACAGTCAGGCACATCTTCGTGCATCGCCGCCCGCGAACCTCCTCAGTTGCTCCTCCTCGATCAGCACCATCGCCGCACTTGGTCGCATTGGCCAAGGTGGGGGAGGAAGTTGAAGACGGAGCGCGAGTGAATTAACTCACCCTGCCAACCACCCAAAGTAAATCCCCCACGACCGACGAGCCCACCATGCGCGGCCTTCAAGGTGCTTGTCGTGGTGGACCCATCCGCTTCCTCGAGACGTGCAACGTGGCAAGGAAACGTGTCCGAAGTACCTGAACCAGCTGCTCCCCTCAACCGGTCCATGAGTCCACCACACATCCTCGCTCTTCAACGAGCAGGAGTCTCGCGTCGGAAGCGGGGGCACCACCACCCCATGGTGGTATGCGAGCTCGCCCGCTGCCTTTATGTCCGGCTCATACCACGCCGGCCACCGCGAAACGCCGCCGGAATCGCCAGAGGCGAAACGTGCCGTGCCATGTCGAAACACTCTAGGACCTGGTCTATAATAAGACAATGTTGTGCCGTCTTAAGAAAAATGAGATACTAATTGTCGCCATCGATCTATTTGTGTACCATTTGCGTCGTTATGCACTATCATCACGACTCTTATAATCTAAAAAAAATGGATATTGGTCCGTGTAAGTGCTGGCCAGACGTCCTCATCGTATGCTGGTCAATTTTAGCACCATTTGCAACATGGCTGTTGTGTAATGTAATGACACATCTTGACTGACGTCTGCAATGGGCTAGCTAGTATTGTAAATATGATAGTAGCTAAGCTGCTTGTTAATGTAAGAGGGAAATCAACCCTCGGTCTTTGCAATGATTGATACGTACAACCATAAATTATTGATTACTAGAAAATGTGTATGTGCGTTGCAAACGGGAGAACACAATGATCATATGATAAGATCAATTAGCAACATTGCAACACTCAATCATACTTGTGGTTGCATGATATGGGAGGTTGGCCACTGGAGGAGGAGCGGCGCCCTTAGCTGCGCCGTCCACTCCACATCCACGGTGGCCACCGAAGCTGAGAGGGCAATCGGGCCTCCTCGCACACCCCTCTTCCATGTACCCTCGATGGGACATAAAGATCTGTATCCTTCTGATATTCTCATCGTAGTTTACTTCTCCTAATCGAGTCATAACAAACTTTTGCTTGGTTGGCTGGGTCAATGATCTAGATTCCATGATAAGGGTCATGAGTTGGTGGATCGACAATGATCCTTCAATAATGTTAAGCAAATGAATCCCGTTCTGTTCTTCTCCTTGTCGCCGTCGTTGTTGTTCCTTAAGGTCATGAGTTGGTGGATCGACAAATATATATTATTGATTATTCAATAATGTTAAGCAAATGAACCCCGTTCTGTTCTTCTCCTTGTCGTTGTCGTTGGTGTTCCTTAAGGCGCAGATTGCGCTCGTCGACTAGAAGCTCGGAGAAGCGCTGGAGCTCTGCATCATTGGTGGGTGCATTCTCGTCCTCGACGGTCTCATACTTCCCCGTGGTCAAGTCCACCATAGCCACCTTCTCGGCCAGCAACTTGTAGCCAATGTCAAGCAGGTCCGCCATGTTCTTCGATGTCGCGTTGTCCATTGGCAAAATGGCCTCCCCGAACAACGGTGCCTACATACACATGTTTAAGTTTGTAGGGACTACTACATATATATGGACATAATAAGCTACTTAAACAAGATGAAATGTAAGGTGGTTGATCACTTGTACATACTTCCTCGGTCTCAAAATAAGTGACTCAACTATGTACTAATTTTAGTATAAAGTTGAGTCACTTATTTTGGGACAGAGGGAATATGTACGTACGTACCGGAGCCTGGATGTAGAGGTAGTTCTGCTTCAGCAAGCGGTTGCCATTGTGTAAGAGCATGCGAACCTGCCAGTCGGCCAACACGGCGCTGGCGTGCGAGGAGGTGTCGGTGACCGGGCGGTGGCTATTGCGCCTGCTGTTAAACCAGTTGAAGGCGCCCCGCTTGGCTGGCACATTTTCGTGCACTGCACACCCTGCGCCTACAGAGATAACCAGATATTTCATATAATCCACGCCGCTGGGGTGGAACTCCGGATTCCTGAGAAGCTGCTCCCTGGTGATCTTGGATATGGCAGCCATTGTGGGGTTGTTGCCGCCGTCGATGAGGTGGTATTTCGACGGCTCCATGTCACTGACCCAGATATCGAAGTAGTGCGCCGGGAAGTAGGTTGGCGTGGCCGTCGACGGCGGGCCAATGCAGACATCAGGCAGGTTTGATCCGGCCTCTTCAACTGGTTTTTGCACGGCATCCTGGAACGAGGAGAAGATGAGAGGCTCGAGAATATTATTGGCGTCGAACGTAGGCGCCGCGAGCTTGCTCAGGGTGTGCTCACCGCTGACTTCCTTGATCTTGTTTTTCTGCAGGAACGTGCCATCGTACTTGGGCCCCCGCGACGCGCTTAGCAGGTCCAACGGCCACCGCCACCACCTGTGAATGTGAAACAAAAAATGAGAATTAATTACGCATTATCTACCGACCAAGATGACAACTTAGTTTCTCGAATACCTACCTCTTGGAAGGGAAGATATTAGGTCCGTTGTTGACATAGAAATCCTGGATTTCCTGAGGAGTGTACTTTGTCCGTTTGTTCGTGTTTGGCGCCGCCAACATTGTTGCGATGATGGCGCCCGCGCTCATGCCTGCTATCACGTCGAAGTAGTCCGCTATCCGGGCATCTTCCCCGTCAATCGCCTAATCACATCAACAGAGATGGACCGGCTTACTTGGTCGAACCACATAACATAACATTTCAAGAGAGACGTGGTTGACTTACTTGGAGCTTTTCCTCGAGGCATTTGAGGACGACCGTCGGGATGAGCCCGTGTATCCCGCCGCCGTCGATGCTCAACACCGTTATGAGCTCCCCAAACTTGGGTGGCGGGAGCCGTGGACGTGGTGTCGGCTCCGGTGATCGTTGGTCCAGCAACGGGGCCGTTGGTCCTTCTTCCTCCTTCGGCATGAGAAGTGGTGTCTCGAGCTCGGCATCCTTGTTGTTTGCCATGAAACAGATGAGAGGGAAGGAAGGAGGAAGAGATCGGGCGAGCGAGAGACAGACAACCTCACTTGGCTGCCTAGCTTGGAGGAGATCGGGCTAAGGAAGGCAACCCTCGCTCGCATATTGTGTTGAATCAATCAAGGGTTTAATTGTATATATATAAATAAAAAGGAAGGCTGTGAGAGAGCGACCGGCCACCAGCAACCAATCTTGCTTCTGCTTGGAGGAAGACAAATGGCATCTCTTATCAAATAAATAAGAGAGCGCCTGCAACCCCCAGCTGATTGAGAAATAACTATTTCTTGACCAGCTGATGGCATGCCGTTTGTTTCATTCGATTTTTCTTTGCCGATGGTTGATGACTGGCTTTCTTCTATATATTTTTTGTTTTTATTAAACACCTACTCCCTGCGTCCTATAATATAAGAGCGTTGTCAAAAACGCTTTTATATTATTGGGACGGAGGGAGTATAACTTGACTAATAATCACAACCATCATTGCTACATTGCTTTAGATCCAAGATGCAAGATAATACAAAGTAACTCACACAACTAAGAATTACAGTAAAACCTTTTCAAGACATCTTCTCCGTGGTATCGATCTTTGCAAGATGAAATATCGCCAACTAAGAATTTCACACAAAAAAAACCGATCCAGAACACTTTTTCCCCCACTTTCCTCCCTTCACGAGAGGCTTTGCCGTGCCTCTCGCGCAGGTAAATCTGTACGTCCACAAGAAACAAATATGTGCCTCCATGAAAAGCAAATATGTGCATCTCGCGAGGAAAAAAATGTTTTTCCCTTTTCGAGAGGCATTCACAAAAAAAAACATGTGACCCGTGAGAATCAAATTTGTGCCTCTTGTAGGAGAAAAAGAAACATTTCTGTGCATTTGTGCCTCTCACGACAGAAAAAAATAATAATATTTTTTTCCTTTTCTGAGAGACACAGCTGTGCCTCTCGCGGAAGCGAACCTGTGCCTCCTCGAGAAGTAAATCTGTGTGTCTCGTGGAAGAAAAATAACTTATTTTTTCGTGCAATTTTTTCTTTTTTCGTTCAAAACCTAAGAAAACTGAGCAAAAACAGAAAAACCAAAAAAACCAGAAAAAACCATCCAAACTTCAAGAACGCGTACGGATAAATAAAAAAACAAAATCCCAAGGGAGCATCCAACGTGTGACACATGACAACTGAGAGTGCACTAAGTGATACTCCCTCCGTTCTTTTTTACTTTGCGCATAACTCATAGCTCGCATACCAAAGAGAGCCCCGTTCGAAATTTTCTGGACAAGTTTGCCCCTTCTTTTGCGTGAATTAGAGTACTAGTCGCCTGGAATCCCTCCCTGCTTGTCACAGGTAATCTCTCTCTCCTCCACTTATGTCTCTGCATGCAAACTTGGAAGTTGCACCAATTAAGGGGATTAACTGCTAGCAAAGCGGAAAGGCAAGGGCAGGCTGGGAAAGTTGCGTTACTCAAGGGGATCGCGCAGAGCATTTGGGGAAAAAATGAAAAAAGTTATGCGCAGAGTATTAAGGATCGGAGGGAGTAAGTTCTCAGCGCACCAAGAGTGATCCTTACGGGACTCACAGAAAGTACCCCACTGTGCGCTATCTCTACTCCTAATGGAGCAGTTGATGAATAGTCCGCGCGATTTATTTTCGCTGGTTTATTTTCGTCATCCTCCCCCCTCCGTTTTATTTTCGTCATCCTCCCACCTCTGTTTACTCGGTATCCTCCAACGAAATAAACCGGTGCAAAAAAACCCTAGGATCCTCGTTCCCACAGCAGATCGGTCTCCACCACCAACCAGACCTTCACACGCCCGATCCAGCCCTACGCCCCATCCGCGGCCGATCCATCCCTGTGCCGCGGCCCATGCCCTATGCCGCCGCCGCCGATGCTTCCTCCTCCACCTCCATTCCCAAGCGACGGGTACCTTCTTCTGGTGGAGGCCACACCAGATCCCATCGCCGCCGCCCTCGCACTCGCATCCCTCCGCCGCCGCCCTCGCACATCAAGCCACCGCAGATCCATCCATTTGCCGCCGCCCTCGCACATGAAGCCGCCGCCGATCCCTGAGCTACCTTGACGGGAGCCATCGATCGTCTCGCTACAACTTGAAGCTGCAACTTGGGCGGTGCCATGGCTCCTTGTGCAGAGAAAACAAGACGGGGCGAGGTCAGGGAGGAGCAGCAGGAGGAGTGAAGGAAAAGAAGGCGGCGGAGAAGGCTCTGCTCGCCGGAGAGCTCGATCGGCGGCGACGAACTCCGAGCCGCACGTTCTGGCGACGGAGGGCTGGAATCGGTCGATGGGGAGACCTGTAGACGCGCGGCGGCGGCGGTTTGGGACGGCGGCGAAGCTGCAACTCGGACGGCGCCATGGCTTCCTATGCAGAGAAAACGAGACGAGGGGGAGGTCAGGGAGGAGCAGCAGGAGGAGTGAAGAAAAAAGGCGGCGGAGAAGGCCCTGCTCGCCGGAGAGCTCGACCTGGCGCCGACGCTCGCCTGTAGCGGGAGTATGCTCGGGCGTACCGGCATGAGAGCTGCAGTTGGTGGGAATTGGCTGCGGGCATAGGAACCGTGGATTGATCCCACGTACACACAGGTACTATAATTTTCCCCTATGCTTCTTCTAGATTTCGTTTTGAGCTGATGGGTCTGAGATGTGGCAGCACTTCTCGGCTCTACGAAATCCATGGCTCAAGTGCATGTCCCGGGGTCCGAGCCTCTATCACTTCTTCAGTTCTGGCTTGCTTCAAGAACAAAAAATTTCTGTGTGGAAGACCACTAGCAGAACTGAATGTTGTATGCACCTTCATCTTGCAGTCCAATTACTTGGATTATTTGGGACAAATTCCTTTCTTTTTAACCGTACTACAGTTATATAGCAGGATAAGGATACATGCTTGTACTGCCTCTATCATAAATTGCACATGAGTTGATTCCGAGTTTAGACAGCTAGCAATCAATCGCTCTGAAGGTATTGCTTTTTTATTTTATTTCAGATCATGAGGAAATGGGTTCAGATATGTGACTACTCTATGCTGTACTAACTATTCTATGTTGTACTGACTATTCTATGCGACCACCAACAGCAAGGGTTCTCTCAGGTGAGATCCCCTCCTTTCAATTTGTTCCCCTTCATTCCCCTATTAGCGTGTGTCAGCTATTTTTCTTGTATAAACTCTAGCAGAGAGAATAAATCTTGGTGATGGATTTACCTTGACGGAAGATGATTTACAGATTTTATTTTTAAATTCTGTGTTCCACTGAACTTCTTTCACCGCACTGTCTCCAATACTGTAGCGGCTTGCTCGAATCGTCCACCACCGACCGCCGCTGGCGCAAGCTGAAACTCACCCGGGGGAGCACTGGCTGGCGCGACAGTGGCGGCGAGGACCAGGTCAAGGCTTCGCAATAAGCGTCGGATCAAGCCATGAAACATGTTGACGGATTAGTTTTCCACCTCATGTTTACTTCACCATGTAGTTGGGTGTAACGTGAGTTCTGCTCTTCTTCTAGGCTGTTGGGAGGAGCGACCCTGCCATCATGTGGAGAACGAGCGGCTCTTGGTGCTCGACAAGGTGCCTGAGCAAGGCATATTAGTGGACGTGCCTCGACCCTGAACTTGCTTTCCCCAAATTTGTTCAGTGAGCAGTGCTATCATATTCTCCTTGCTCTTATCATGGATAAGTTTGGAGTTTGGGTCTTTTTAGTTCTCGCGTTCGGACCAAAATGATTGGGGGAGTGGAGATTGGCATGAATAATTGCAATTTTTAACACAAGATCAGACAATGAAGGATTTGTTGTCAAGATATCAAAAGTTGCTCATATCAACTGGGAATATAGAAGTTATATTCAGTCATGCAGACATATAGTTTTTTTTTTGCATATGAAAATAGATTGTCAACGTATATTATTTGGCTCAATAAATTGCGTTGTGAATCACTTCGAATTGTTTGTAACAATGAACATTTTTCATACAACACCTTAATATGTAGCTTATAAGGCTTTTAGTTTGTGAATAATTTGTTCAAAGAGTCACACTGTATCATCACACAAGGCAACGATATATTAAGGTGAAGACTTTGTCATCTATACTTGTTGATACTTTTTCAATTATGCTTACCTTGCATCCTTCTGTTAACAGTTTAGAAATATAGTTATGTTCATTGATTTCTTATACAGTTATCCCACGTCAGTATAGGTTGTGGAGGATCGTATAGTGTTTTCTTTAATTGCGGATCAGGTGTCGTTCACTTTTGCAAGGATAGACCAGTAAGATATCTAGCATTTCCTTCATGTGGCTTTATCATTTTTTAAACCGTGTAAGTTTTGAGTGAAACTATACTATCTGTTAACACAAGGATAAGAAAGAATGGAATTAATTGTAAGCATTCTTCTTGAGATAGAGACTTTCTGTGTAGTTTGCTGCAAGTGTTTAAATCTGAATTTCAGTTTGAGATATACAACCGGCAATCTGAGGTCAATACTGCTGCTCAGACAATCTAGATATGTCAACAAAATTTCTTTGCAAACTCGTACAGAAGCTTAAGAATATGCCTGCTACTTGGGGATATTGTGGTGTTAAATGACCTAAATCTCGCTTCACATATATCACAATCCGATACGGTGTTTGACAAAACCCAAAAAATTTTGGAACAAAAAAGGTTGTGCTAGCAAGGAAATTCACTTCAGCTCAAGACTTGATAAGGCATGTGGCGACCCTAGGAGGTGTTGTTGTGCTCACTCGCATACCATATATTCAGAGTTAAAGTTGTTTGCGTGTTTTCTATGGTCTAAGGTATTTTGAATACATCAGGTTGTTTATGTTTGTTTGTAGCCTGAACCTTGCAGATGGTCTCTATGCTGTAGCTATAATTTTTTTCTCGTGCCGACAGTGGTAACACATGAAAGATCCAGAAAGATTTTGAAGCGGCGTAGATCGAGCCGGTGCATACTATTGCCTTCCAAGGCCTTGAAGGAGATCATATATGTTTGGCTA